AAGCCACAGGCCCTAACGTGGAAATCATGACACGCATGTCATGTAAGTAATGAGTAATGACTACACGCCACGCTCATGATGCGCTCGCAACCGTCTTGCTAGCTTCACATATATCATCTTTCGTTTTACGTGATGCGAATAAATGACGAAGGTATGTGCCTGGTGCAAACACGATAATTATGAGATGCGTGTCGTATGACATTATGACTATAAGCCGCGCTCATGTTGCCCTCCCAGCCGTTTTGCTAGCTTCACATACACCAAATTCGGTATTACGGGACGTAAATTGACAACAAAGAGACGTGACTTGTGCAAGCACGATAATCATGTAATGCTTGTCATGTAACAACATGACTACATGCTACGCTCATGATGCGCTCACGGCCCTCTCCCTAGCTTCGCATGTACCAAAATCAGTATTACGTGACGTGAACGAACGACTTATGTAAATGACATGTCCAAAAATGATAATCATGGCATGCGTGTCATGTAACAACATGACTACATACCGCACTCATGATGTTCTCGGGACTGTTTCGCTAGATTCATATATGCCAAATTGCTATTACGTCACGTGAATGGATGACGAAGGTATGTGACTGGTGCAAACATAATAATTATGAGATGCGTGTCGTGTAAGACCATGACTACATCCCACACTCAAGGCGTTAATAGACTTGGAGTTGCCCCGGTGTGCCTGTGTTTCACAGCGTTTGTTTCGTCACGTCATGCCGGCGATGCCACGCCAGGCGCCCATCTGCCTGGCACGTGCCGCACTGATTGCTTTGACGCATGCGCGTTTGAGCAGGCCCGGCATCCCTTCGTCACGAAACTAGGGAGACGCGGTGCTTTTTGGGTAACGTGGTTGGTGCGAAATGCAGCATGTGGCGTTTTGCACCGGTTGCCGCCGGGCTGCGCCGACAGACGCTGGTCGCGTCTGGCGTCAGACTATAGAGTGTTCGCGTTTTGCTAACATAGCGTCGCTGCGCCCAGCGTGCGCTCGTGAACGTTACGTGATTGATTGATTGATTGATTGATTGATTAAAACTTTACTTTTGTCTTGAGAAGACGCAGGGGAGACCCCGCGCCCCCCGGCTAATTCCACGTTGGGACCGTCAAGCCGAACTTGGCGGCCCGTTCACGGGCACTCTGGACGGCCAGGGTTTGATCCTCAAGTTCGAGGCTGCGTAAGAGCGCAGCCCACCTGTCCTCACTGAGGGCGGGGCCGATGGCTTCACATTGCCACAACACGTGATTGAATGTGGCTAACAGTTCACAAGCGGGGCACACTTGGATACCGTTCAGGGTATATGGCGTGAAGAACCGCAGGATTAGGATACGCACTGGCTTGCAATAGTCTTAGGGTGACTGCCTGCGCCCTGCACAAGGCCGGGTGTGGGAGAAAGAATACCCTTCTCGACAGATAGAAGTGATTTGTTATTTTCGTTGAACGTAAGTAAGGGTTCCCAGCGAGGCAGAGGGACTGTGGAGGTGGCGCGGTCAGTGAGTCCTCGCGCGGCCTCGTGTGCGCCCTCGTTCGGGTTAGAGGTAGAGCCCTCGATCGACCCCAGGTGAGCGGGAAACCAAGTGAGAGAATGGGGCGTGTTACTCTTAACGCTTCGGAGAATGCGGAGGGCCTGAGGGGCTACCATCCCGATTTCGTAGGCTTTGATAGCCGCCTTGGAGTCGCTGTATATTGACTCTCTGCGACTATCTAGCATAGCCAGCACGATTGCAACCTGTTCGGCTATCACGGGCTTCGATGTGCGTACTGTGGCGGAGCAAGTGAGCCTGGAATTTGAGTCGACGATGGAAACAGCGAATGCTTCTTGTTGGACATATGGCGCAGCATCCACAAAGATTGCATCAGTGGGGTTGCTACAGACGAGCTCGAGCAGAGCTCTACCCCTGGCCCTACGCCGACTGACGTTGTGCGCAAGGTGCATATTGCGGGGAATGGGTGCGATGCGCAGTTGAGACCTGATGTTTCTGGGAATCTGCATAGAATCGGGCACTGGTCAGTAGAGTTGAGGCCTAAATCATCGAGTATCTTGCGGCCCATTTCGTTCCGGAAAGCCTGAGCAGCTGTGAGTGCTCTTGCGCCTCGATTATCTCTTCGAGTGTATTGTGAACACCGAGCTTGAAAAGGTTTTCATCGCGAGTGCTTACTGGCAAGCCGAGCGCGAGCTTGAGGACCTTTCTTATAAGGGAATTGAGCTTACTTCTCTCTGCAACATGCCAATTATACATGGCCGCTGAGTACGAAAGGTGGCAGAGCACAAACGCATGTATGATGCGGATGAGATTGTCTTCCTTGATTCCCCGGTGTCTGTTGGTGATCCTCCGGATGAGGCCGAGAGCACTTTCCATCTTGGTTGTGATCTATCTCAGTGCAGCTCCGTTAGCACCGTTGGACTCGATATACATTCCCAATATTCGGAGCGAATCCACTCTGGGCACTGGGGACCCGTCACTAGTGAAATGCCGTATTTCACTTTGAGACGCAGGTTTACAGTCACGGTGGCCGCCGCCTCGGGGTCTTTTCTTGTGGAGCAGAAGTTCAGATTTCGATGGGGAGCACCTGAGACCGGTAGGACGGAGGAAACGTTCGGTCACGTCGATTGCGCGCTGCTTGGCTTCCTCAACTTGACCATCGCTCCTGCTGGTGCACCAGATAGTTATATCATCTGCGTAGATGGTATGATTTATTCCTTGAATCTTCGCGATTTCCTTGGAGAGCCCAATCATCACGATGTTAAATGTGTTGGTGAAATAACTGGTCCCTGATGCGTGCCGCGTGAACTGAGATTGATCTCTCGTGAGAAGTACCCTTCGATCTTGAGCTCGGTAGTTCTCTGGTAAAGAAAAGATCTCACGAAGTCGTAGACCCTCTTCCCTAGCCCTAGGCTGGCAATAGACTGGAGAATGAATTCGTGAGAAACGTTGTCGAAAGCCTTCTCCAGGTCTAATCCAAGGATGGCTCTTGTATCTCCCGTGCTCTGGTCGATGATCTGATGCTTTATCAGCTTCATGGAATCCTGTGTCAAGAGACCAGCTCTGAAACCAATCATATTGTGGGTGTGCATGTCGTTGGTCTCGAGGTGCACCTTGAGTCGGTTCAGAAGGGCGTGCTCTGCGACCTTAGCGACAAAGGAAGTTAAGGAAATCGGTCTTAGATTATCTATTCCTGGTGCTGTATTTGGTTTAGGGATTAGAACTGTGTAGGCCGTCTTCCACTGTGCGTGAACCTCCCCACTGCGCCACACCTCATTTATCTTCTCCGTAAGGAATTCGATGGAGTCATCATCAAGGTTCTTGAGCATCTTATTGGTTATGCCATCAGGGTTAAGGGCGGATTTGGCATTTAGGGAAAAGAGAGCCTGCCGTATCTCGGCCACAGTATAGTCCTGGTCCAACTCCGGCACGTTGCACCCCGCGTAGTCCGGAAACTGTGTGGGTGCAGAGCTATCCGCGACTCGCAGATACCTGTCTATAAGTTTGTTGACAACCAATTCGTCCTGGGGTAGAGTCAGTAGCAAGATGGATGACTCGCGCGAGGGATCGCCTCTGGCTGGACCTGGTGCTGCCCTGATCGAGAAGGTGTTTGAAAAGACCCCAGCTCTTCCCAGATCTGAGCTGACCCTCGACGCTTTCACAGAGCTTATGCCATTGTTCTTTACACAAGGTTTTGCAGTGCTCCTCGATCACCCTCTTAACCTCGGAAATCTTCTTGCGAAGCCTCCTGTTATGCTTCTGTCACTTCCACCTCGTGAGTAGGGCTTGCTTGGCTTCTAGTAGGTTTGCCAACCTGCTGTCCATGTTTTCAACATCGAGGTCAGTGACGACCTCCTTCGTCGCTGCCGTGGCGTCATCTCTGATTCCTCTGTACCATCCTTCAAAGTCTGTCCGAGCCGTCGGTGCTTTCTCAGCTCTGACTTCGCGAAAAACGTTCCAGACAACCACCTTGAACTTTTTCGTCCTAAAGCGGGCAATCGCGAACGATACCTCAATGATGTAGTGGTCACTTCCGAGGTCTAGAGCCGTGTTGACCCATTTGACCCCATCTATATATATTCTTCAGAAAAGTCAGGTCCGGGGTGGTGTCCCGGCATATGGAGTTACCTCTCCTAGTGGGGAAATCCTTGTTAGTTAAAAGCGTCAAGTTGGCTTCTGTCGCAGTCTGCCATAGCTCGCATCCCTTGGGGGTATCATACATGTATCCCCACACACTGTGTGGGACATTGAAATCCCCTACGACTACAAGGGGGTAACTACTGGCCATGCTCACAGCCCTTTTGAGGAGAGAGTTTGCTCTCGCCCTGCTATAACTGGGACTGCAGTATACGTTGAGAATAAAAAGGCTATTTCTTCGGAAACCCTTCTTGGGTGAGTTCATTATAAATTCAGTCATTACGTACTCAATGCCATCGGGGTCACGCGATAGGTAGGTCACGCGAATACCGAGGTCACGCGATAGGTAATTGTACCTTTTGCTGATAAGTGTGGCAACTTCCCTACCTCCTGAATGTGACGACGCTACTAGGTAACCCGGTAGTTTGATGGGGGTGCCAGACACAACTTCCTGAACAGCGATGATTTGTGGCTTAGCATCGAGGGTTCTTAAATATTGCTGTAGAATGGGCTTTTTGTGAGTAAACCCACCACAGTTCCATTGCCAGATTCTGAAGTTTTCTTCGACACTATCCATGTTTAGGCTGAGGGGATGGTTGAGCAGCTATAACGGCCCGGAGGATCGCGCCCTCAGTCGGTGGCACTAGTACATTGCGTTGTGCTGGGACCTGCAAAGGAGTCGGACCGGGGTCTCTCCTGGCATCGAGCTCTTCTAACTTGCTTATGCGTTCACTCAGTGCTCCTAATCCCATGTTGGGGTGCGCCACGGCTTCTTGAATTTTTGCTAAGGTGGCCTGCATGTTTATGAAGGAAACCTTGAGTTCCGACAGTAAGTTTACCGCCTCTTATTCTTGTGTGCTCTCAACCGCTCAGCGCCTGGTTCCGCTAGGCCTATGAAGTGCCTCAGACGTATCCATGGCGACCGGGGTTGGGGCGGGCTGTGCCGAAGGGGGCGAAGACGCGAGATTTCTAATCTCCGCCATCTCCGCTGCTAGCCTGCTTATTTCTTGCTTAAGCTGCGCGTTTTCTTTGCTCAGCTGCTCGTTAGCTCGTCCCATCTCGTCGAGCTCACCCGCGTGGGGAGAACTGCGATTCGATTCGTCGCCTCTAGGAGGCTCACGTCTTCCTCGTGCTTTGTCGGCCCAGGAGAGCGTCGGCTTCTTGCTGTTAGAGGTGGTGGGCGTGCGGGAGCGGGACCTGGTCAGCCCCGACGAAACATGCCCCGGCTTTGAGTTGGAGCGAGGCTGAGAAGTGGAACTTCCCCGGGCACGTTCTGTCGACCTGGAGCGCGAGCCGGAACATCCCTTAGAGGCACCACGGCGCCTGGATCCGGAGCGGCCTCCCGAGCGTCCCCTGGAACGGGGGCGTCCTCTGCGCTGAGCATCCATAGTGGGTGACGATAACTGGAACTCGTCCGCAGTGTCGAGGTGACGTTGCGGGGACGGTGAGGCAGCACCAGCCATTCTGGCACGCTCTATGCGACGACGGCGCACAATGTACGGGATCTTGAACCTTTGAGCACAGTCTTTGCTAGCCGTGAGACGCTCGCCACCACAGAGTTTGCACCTGGGAGTACACACACGTTGCTTGTCAGGGCTTGCGGCACCACAGCCTCAGCAAATCGTGTCACCGGGAGTGGGGCACAGGTCAGCGCGATGACCTAGACGGCCGCACGCATAACACACGTCGATTTGCTTGTGGTAGAGTGAGCACTGCATCAGCACTGGTCCATACCTGACAAAATTCGGTACACGATACTCGTCGAAAGCGATGATGACCGTGTTAGTTTGGGCTATTCTCTTGGCTGCTAAGGTGAGTGAATTATTTGTGTTGACAATCATCGCATCGATGACGTCAGGGCCGTCTTGAAGTGGGACGTTACGAATCACCTCTTTGGAAGTGGAGTGTGGGGCAGTCTCATAGGCATTTAGCTCGTGCACCTTGCCTGAAATGAGTATTTGCTTCATTCGAACGTATCGGTCTGCGTTTTCGCGCTTGAGAGTAATGGCAACCATAATATTTTGCTGCATATTCGGGCATAGAGTATCCTGGCACAAATCTTCCTGGCTTATGCCAGCGGCAACTAGTATTGCGTCTTCCACCATAGCTGCGCCAATTTTCGAGATATTGAGTCCACCTCTCGGCCGGATCACAATCTTAATGTCATCGTTAGAAAAGGGGGGGCATATTTCCCGCCCGTATTACTTTGGACTTTAGCGCAGCGCCTCTCAATTCGCCGCGGCGTTCGCCCGGCTGTGACGATGGCGCGTTAGAGTCAGCAGTACGTGTTTTGGCGCCAGCTCTTCTGGCCCCAGCGGACTGCCAACCTTTATCTTGAGTAAACTTTTCTTCTGAAATATCCTTTCCGTGCACTTCATACTCCATCGTGAGCAAATAATTCCGCGCACCGGGCGTCCGAAGGGCCGGCCGCAGGCGAGAACAAGCCCAGCAAAACCGCGGTCTCCTGAGCCACTCGTTAAAGTTAAAGAGGGCACCGCTCCACAGGAAAAGAAATTGTTCCTAACTTGACAAAAACTCACTCTCTGTGGTCAAATATGGTATCGTTAGGATCCTGATGACTTCTCGGAACCGATGCGAGCCACAGTTCATGAACACTTGAAGAAAAAACTTTAGAAACACAGATTTAGTCGCGCGTCCACAGGAGCCGTACGAACGCAGCCTCCCATCTCAACGTTACGTTGCAGTATGTCGGGCCCTTCACAATGCTCTCCCCGCCGTTTCTCTAGCTTCACATATTCTAAGTATGGTGGTACGGTACGTGAATGGACGATGAAGGTATGTGACTGGTGCAAACATAATAATCATGAGATGCGTGTCATGTAACAACACGACCACATGCTACGCTCATGATGCGCTCGCGGTCGTTTCCCTAGCTTCACATATACCAAAGTGGATTTGCATGACGTCACTAGACGGCGAAGTGAAATGACGCGTCCGAACATGATAATCACGACATGCGTGTCATGTAAAACATGACGACATGCTACGCTCATAGCACGCTCGTGGCCGTTTCGCTAGCTCCATATATAAAAATTTGGTATCAGGGTGGCGTGAATAGATGATGAAGGGCAATGACACATGCAAACATAATAATTATGACATGGAAGTTATGTACGGCATAATTTACCTCCGCTTCGCAACCTTGTTATCATTTTAACGTGACATATAATTCCTTCCTCATTGGTGCACGTTAAGGAACACCAGGTGGTCTAAATTTTCGGAGCCCTCCACTACTGCGTCCCTCATAATCATATGTTGGTTTTGATATGTTAAACACCACATATCAATCAAACCTTCCTCATTCGTGCTTCGCATATCATCGATTGCCACTGTACGTGGGATCTGCCAATTTTTTCGCTACATCACGATCGTCATTGCTACCATTACAATTCTCTTAACAGGCGCCCAAAGTAGTTTACTCACACCATCTTGAGCAAAGAAATATTTGTACGATGAGAAACCTGTGTACATGTTGTCGTGTTTATTTTGAATACTTATATAGAAATACAATGGCTATTAATTAGGGCTATTTTTTATATCTGCCAATTTTGTACAACGAATTGAATATTGTTCCATTCGGTTCGTGGTCCAATCGAGTTGCGCAGTACTCGCCACATCCTGTAGTAATTAATGCGAACGCTTATTTTGCGCACTGCAATTGTACAGACATTGGTAAATTCAATGGGAAAGCGGTAAGAAAAAGATGGCATTAGCAACGTTGGCCTGAGGAGTGTTAGAATCAATTTTAGGGTTTCAGCAGGAATCTAACCCAGCAGTATGCGCGGAAATTAAGTTTTGTGCCACAGAAACACACCAGGCCGAGGAACTGCTTTTCAAGGAACTGCTTCAAGTGAACACGTCCCTCTCCAAGCCAAGCCCACACACAACCCGCCACACAGATTGGGATGCGTTACGAGAACGCCGGCTGCACTCTGCTGCCCCAACATTGAGGACCTTTGGACATGGACCGATCAGCTGCTAGCGGATCTCGACGTGGTCCCTGCCTCAATCACTACCACGGAAGACCATCCCGCAATCGACTCCCGCCTTGCCCACCTGTGGGCCGCTCGCACGGGACTCACTAACCCTTGGCATAAGCAACGTCACAACCGTCCTTACGCCGGCGCATCACACACCTCGATCGTGCTATTGAGCAACAAGCCACCATGCTTGCACGCCAACAGTGGGAACAACTCTGCTCGGAGCTCTACGGTCAGTTGGGCTGCAAAAAAATCTTGGAATCTCCTCCGCTACCTCCTCGACCCTGCTTCCGGCAAGTCGGTCGCTCGCGAGCAACTACACCGAGTGGTCCGGGCCTACCCCGGTGACACTCCGTCGCTGATGGCCGACCTGGCAGCGAAGTACTTCCAGCTTCTGACCCCTGGTGTACATTATCCCCTCTCGCACCTTACAATGGGGCTCCCAACCCAGAACTCGACGCCAACATCACGGAAACGGAGGTCTACGTGGCATTACAGAGGATCCGCACCACCTCAGCGCCCAGTCCAGATCGCATCCCCAACAAACTCCTCCGGAACCTCGACGCTCCTTCGATCACTACCCCTACTTCTTTACTCTACGAGTGCTGGCACTCGGGCAACCTACCCCAGTCATGGAAACACGCTCGCGTGGCTTGCATCCCCAGGCCGCCAAAGAAACTCACAATCGACAATCACCGGTCCATTTCACTCACTTCATGAGTCGGCAAGCTTCTGGAACACGTCATTCTCGCTCGCCTGCAAACGTTTACGGACGCTCATTATCTCCTTCCCCACACCATGCTTGGAATCCACCCCAACTCTCAACGCAAGATGTCTTCTTGCAACTCCACCACGATCTCCTCAACCCACCCTCATTTTCAGACACTATGCCTCTTCTTAGCCTCGACCTTCATAAACAGTTGGACAACGTCTTTCATTCGGCTATCCTTGCCGCACTCTCAGCCTTCAATCCTGGCACCCACACCTACAACTACATTCGCGCATTCCTCACGGCCAGCACGGGAGAAATCATCATAGGGGACTTCCATCTTCCATGTACGAGCTTGGCCCTCGCGGCTTCCCTCAAGGCGACGTATTGTTGCCTTTTTTATTTATTCTTACCCTCTGCTCGCTCCCTAGAAAGCTGGACCGTATCCCCACTCTCAAACACACCCTGTACGCTGATGACGTCGCCCTTTGGGTCACATCTGGTTCTGATGGCCACATCGAGCAGACGTTGCGACGTGCAGCCGACGTCGTGACTTCCCACGTACACGTGGCCGGTCTCACTCGCTCAGTGGCCAAATCGGCCCTCCTTCTCATGCGGCCTCCCGACCACTGTCACTACAAAACGCCTCACCCTACTATCACTGTGCACGTCAACTGCACGTACCCATCGTTCCCCATCTCCGCGTGCTTGGGCTGATTATTACAGTCCAACCGCCATTACACGCACACCAATCGACAAGCTCACGCTCTCGATGCAACAGACTGCACGAATGCTTGCCCGTGTCCGCGCGCGGCGTGCAGGCATGAGAGAACACGATCTGCTTCGCCTTGTCGACGCCATCCTCAGTTTGCCGCATCACGTACAGCCTTCTTTACACTCTTCTCCTCAAAACAAAACGCGACAAGATTGACGTCCTCATCCGTCGGGCATACAAGACCACCCTCGGCCTTCACTCTCAACACGTCTACGGATTGTCTTCTATTCCTTGGTGTACACAACACCCTCGACGAGTTAATTGAGGCTCACTCAAGCCGGGTGAGCCCGGGCGTCCATGCTTCACGCCAAAGACGCTGACCACGCGGCCGTTGCCTACGTGAATGCAGCCCGTTACAACTCATCCAGGGGCGCCTTCGCAGTCATCTTCATGTCACCCTCCTCAGCGCCTTCTGGGCGTGCAATCGAGGCCGGCACCGTTCGAAGACCCTACGCCGTCCAAGCGGAGGAGGTGGCCATCGCTTTGGCTGTGACCTCTGCCGACGCTCGCGTCATACTCAGCGACTCCAAACGAGGCATTAGAATTTCTCGCGAGGTTTTGTCCCACCTAGCACCCGACGACTCCTTCGCCCGTTGCTGTAGCGAGACAAGCAGCGCCATTTCGTACTGATCTGGGTCGCCGCCCGCTAAGGTCACCCCAGCAATTAGGCAGCCCACCAACACGTCCGATGACTCGTCGACTGAGCAGTGGGCCCCTTTGAGTCTGACGCCCTGGTACCGCAGCTCCTGGTCACTTACCACGACATTACCCTGCACTATCGCATCGAGCGATACACCTATCCACCCCAACCCCCCCACGTCAGTCTTCCCAAGCAGTCTGAGGTCACCTGGTGTCGCCTACAGACCTACACCATTCCATTCCTTCTCGTCTTTTCCTACATCCACCCAGACATTGATCCACGCTGCAGCCTTCGCGGTGGTATGGCCTCACTGAACCGCATCCTCTGGGGCTGCCCGG